AGAGATAATGAGTGCTAGAGACATGATGAGTGTTAGGGGCAGATGATGAGTGCTAGAGAAAGATGATGAGTGCTAGGGAGAGATAATGAGTGCTAGGGCCAGAATATAAGTGCTAGATAGAAATGTTCAGTGCAAGGGACAAGGGATCACGCTAGGAACACTTAATCAGTCTTGGGACAGGTGATCAGTGCTAGGGACAGTTGATTAGTTTTTGGGACAGTTGATGAGTGCTAGAGAGATATTCAGTGCTAGAGACATGATGAGTGCTAGGGGCAGATGATGAGTGCTAGAGAAAGATGATGAGTGCTAGGGAGAGATGATGAGTGCTAGAGGCAGATGATGAGTGCTAGGGCCAGATGGTAAGTGTTAGGGACAGGTGATGAGTGCTAGCGACGGTTGATGCGTGCTAGAGACATGGCGAGTGCTAGATAAAGATGATCACTGCTGGGAAGAGTTGATTAGTGCTAGGGACAGATTTTCAGTGCTAGGTACAGGTGATGAGTGCTAGAAAAAGTTGATGTGTGTTAGATAGAGATAATAAGTGCTAGGTGCAGATGATGAGTGCTAGGGACAGCTGATGAGTGCTAGGGACAGATGATAAGTGCTAGGTACAGATAATGAGTGCTAGATACAGATGATGAGTGCTACGTACAGACTATGAGTGCCAGGTACAGATGATCAGTGTTAGAGACAGATGATGAGTGCTGTGTTTAGATGATAAGTGTGAGGGACAGATCATAAGTGCTAGGTACAGATCATGAGTGTTAGGGACAAATGATGAGTGCCAGGTACATATGATGAGTGCTAGGGACAGGTGATGGGTGCTAGGGACAGATGCTGAATGCTAGGGAGAAATGCTGAATGCTAGGGAGAGATGATGCGTACTAGGGACAGATGCTGAATGCTAGGGAGAGAGGATAAGTGTTAGATACAGATGATGAGTGCCAAGTACAGATGATGAGTGCTAGGTACAGATGATGAGTGCTAGGTACAGATGATGAGTGCTAGGTACAGATGGTGAGTGCTATGGACAAGTTATGAGTGCTAGGGAAGATGATGAGTGCAAGATACAGATGATGAGTGCTAGAGACAGTTGATAATTGCTTGGGGCAGATGATGAGTACTAGATACAGATGACGAGTGCTAGAGACAGATGATGAGTGCTAGAGACAGATGATGAGTGCTAGGGACAGATGATGAGTAGTAGGTACAAATGATGAGTGCTAGGTACTGGTGATGAGTCCTAGGAACAGTTGATGTGTGTTAGATACAGATAATAAGTGCTAGGTGCAGATGATGAATGCTAGGGACAGCTGATGAGTGCTAGGGACAGATGATAAGTGCTAGGTACAGATGATGAGTGCTAGGGAAAAATCATGAGTTCTAGGGACAGTTGATAATTGCTTGGTACAGATGATGAGTGCTAGGTACAGATGATGAGTTCTAGGGACAGATGATGAGTGGTAGAGACAGATGATGACTTCTAGATAGAGATAATGAGTGCGAGGTACAGATGATGAGTGCTAGGGACAAGTGATGAGTTCTAGGGGCAGTTGATAAGTGCTTGGTACAGATGATGAGTGCTAGGGACAGGTGATGCGTGCTAGGGACAGATGCCGAATGCTAGGGAGAGATGCTGAATGCTAGGGAGAGATGATGATTGCTAGGGACAGATGATGCGTGCTAGGGACAGATACTGAATGCTAGAGAGAGATGATGAGTGCTAGGTATAGATGATGAGTGCCAAGTACAGATGATGAGTGCTAGGTACAGATGGTGAGTGCTATGGACAGATGATGAGTGCTAGGGAAGATGATGAGTGCAAGATACAGATGATGAGTGCTAGAGACATTTGATAATTGCTTGGGACAGATGATGAGTGCTAGATACAGATGATGAGTGCTAGATACAGATGATGAGTGCTAGATACAGATGATGAGTGCTAGGGACAGATGATGAGTGCTAGGGACAGATGATGAGTAGTAGGTACAAATGATGAGTGCTAGGTACAGGTGATGAATGCTAGGGACAGTTGATGTGTGTTAGAACAGATAATAAGTGCTGGGTGCAGATGGTGAATGCTAGGGACAGGTGATGAGTGCTAGGGACAGATGATAAGTGCTAGGTACAGATGATGAGTGCTAGGGGAAAATGATGAGTTTTAGGGACAGTTGATAATTGCTTGGTACAGATGATGAGTGCTAGGTACAGACGATGAGTGCTAGAGACAGTTGATGATTGCTAGGTACAGATGATGAGTGCTAGGGACATGATGAGTGCGAGGTACAGATGATGAGTGTTAGAGACAAGTGATGAGTTCTAGGGACAGTTGATAATTGCTTGGTACCGATGATGAGTGCTAGGTACAAATGATGAGTGCTAGAGACAGATGATGAGTGCTAGAGATAGGTGATGAGTGCTAGAGACAGATGATGAGTGCTAGAGACATGATGAGTGCTAGGGAGAGATGATGAGTGATAGAGGCAGGTGATGAGTGCTAGTTACAGATGATGAGTGCTAGGGACAAATGATCACTGCTAAGGACAGATGATGAGTGCTATGGACAGATGATTAGTGTCTAGAGACAGATGACGAGTGCGAGGTACAGATGATGAGTGCTAGGGACAAGTGATGAGTTCTAGGGACAGTTAATAAGTGCTTGGTGCAGATGATAAATGCTAGGTACAGATAATGAGTGTTAGAGACAGATGACGAGTACTAGAGACATGATGAGTGCTGTGGACAGATGACTAGTGTCTAGAGACAGATGATGAGTGCGAGGTACAGATGATGAGTGCTAGGGGCAAGTGATGAGTTCTAGGGACAGTTTATACGTGCTTGGTACAGATGATGAATGCTAGGTACAGATAATGAGTGCTAGAGACAGATGATGAGTGCTAGCGACAGGTGATGAGTGGTAGGGACAGATGATGAGTGCTAGGTACATATGATGAATGCTTGGTACAGATGATGAATGCTATGTACAGATGATGAGTGCTAGGGACAGATGATGAGTGCTAGGGTCAGATGATGAGTGCTGGGTACAAATGATAAGTGCTAGGGACAGATGATGAGTGCTAGGGACAGATGATGCTTGCTTCGGACAGATACTGAATGCTAGGGAGAGATGCTAAATGCTAGGGACAGATGATGAGTGCTAGCGACAGGTGATGAGTGCTAGGTACATATGATGAGTGCGAGGTACAGATGATGAGTACTAGGGACACGTGATGAGTTCTAGGGACAGTTGATAAGTGCTAGGAGAGATGATGAGTGCTAGGTCCAGATGATGAGTGCTAGAGACAGATGATGGGTGCTAGAGACAGACGATGAGTTCTAGGGACAGATGATGAGTGCTACGTACAGATGATGGGTGCTAGGTACAGATGATGAATGCTAGGTACAGATGATGAGTGCTAGATACAGATGATTAGTGCTAGAGACATGATGAGTGCTAGGTACAGAACATGAGTGTTAGGAATAGACGATGAGTGCTACTGACAGATGATGAGTGTTTGGGACAGATGATAAGTGTTAGGGACAGATGATGAGTGCGAGGGAGAGATGATGAGTGCTAGGGGCAGATGATTAGTGTTTGGGACAGATGATTACTGCTAGGGACAGATGAGTGCTGGTGAGAAATGGTGGGTGCCAGGTATAGATGATGAGTGCTAGGGACAGATGCTGAATGTTAGGGAGAGATGATGAGTGCTAGGGACAGGTGATAAGCGCTATTGACAGATGATGAGTGCTAGAGACAGATGATAAGTGCTAGGGACAGATGATGAGTGCTATTGACAGATAATAAGTTCTAGGAACATGATGCGTGCTAGGGACAGATGCTGAATGCTAGGGACAGATGATGAGAGCGAAGGACAGATGATAAGTGCTAGGGACAGATCATTAGTAGTAGGGACAGATGATGAATGCTAGGGACAGGTGATGAGTGCTAGGGACAGATGATGAGTGCTAGGGACATGCTAAGTGCTAGAGACATGAGTGCTAGGTACAGATGATTAGTGCTAGAGATATGATGAGTGCTAGGTACAGAACATGAGTGTTAGGGACAGACGATGAGTGCTACTGACAAATGATGAGTGTTTGGGACAGATGATAAGTGTTAGGGACAGATAATGAGTGCGAGGGAGAGATGATGAGTGCTAGGGGCAGATGATTAGTGTTTGGGACAGACGATTACTGCTAGGGACAGATGAGTGCTGGTGACAGATGATGGGTGCCAGGTACAGAAGATGAGTGTTAGGGACCGATGATAATTGCTAGGGACAGATAATGAGTGCCAGGGACAAATGATGAGTGCTAGGGGCAGATGGTGAGTGCCAGGGACAGATGATGATTGCAAGGGACAGATGATAAGTACTAGGGACAGATGATGAGTGCTATGGACAGATGATAGGTGCTAAGGACAGTTGATCTTTGGTAGGGACAGATGATGATCGTAGCAACAGTTGATCTGGGCTAGGGAATGTTGAACAGTGCTAAGGGCAGATGTTTAGTGCTAAGGACAGTTGATCAGTGCTAAGGAGCTTTGACCAGTGCGAAGGAAAGTTAATCAGTATTATGGAGAGATGATGAGTGCTAGGGACAGATGTTCTGTGCTACGGATAGTTGATTAGTGCTAAGGACAGTTGATGAGTGCTAAAGACAGCTGATCAGTACCAGGGAGAGTTGATAAGGCGTTGGGATGGAGAGTGATGGACTACTTCGTGAAACGGGAGACTATATGAACATTAAGTAACATCGTAAACTTTAATAGTAGACAGCGGGTAGCAAGTCCTATAATTTTCAAGTTTTATAACGTAGTATGTGAGCATCAATAAGTGCATATTTTTTTAAGAGACATATTTTTCTAAAGGACCATCTGGTATCACTGTGGTGGTAAACCGTAACTATAGTATATTATATTTTGATATTAAACGATGGACAGCAAATTCAATAATTTTTAAATTGTGTAATTTACTTTGTAAGCATAGATAAGTACATATTTTTATAAGAGGCAAACAAATATACTCACAAAGTCTTGAATTCCTGCCCATTGTTGGTTTTGGTACCTGTGTCAAGGAGTAAAGAAATAAGTCTCTCCAACAATTTCAGCAACAGCTTTTTGAAACAAAAGTAACCAAGTCAAAAAAGGCCAAGCCTGTGGATATACGAAGGATGTTATTGTGGTAAATACACGTAATCTCCTAAAGGGGAGCTGATGACTGTTATTATTGGACGTTTTAGACAAGTAGAATAAATGAAAGTACTATACTATTCTAAATGTGGGCAGGAAAAGTACATTTCAGAGACCATGAATGATGACAAGTTAATTAGATTTGTTAACAGGAGGTGGTGATACTGAAGTCAATTCAAAATTGACCTGAATATTTTCAAACGGATTTTGATAATTCGAGTGTAGAAACTATTTTAAGCCCGTGAACTACCTGATTATGTGGACTATTACAAAGAATGTACCCAGTGTTGCGTTCACGAAAACAACGACCAATATGATCATCTCTGTTAAAACGTGTCTGTAAGAGTAAATACAAAATATGGTTAATATATGGGATAAAAAAACAACAAGAAATCAAAATCAAGGGATACCTATTGTTGTTGTACTAAGATGTTTTTAAGGTTGTTCACGAACATTTCAAAGCAAAACTGTAGAACTAGTTGTTTTCGAAAAAGGAGAGATGGGACATTCGTGACGATTCAATAACCTAACGAGCGAAAACGTGGCATGCTTTTGGGTAGCAAAGATCACAACCTATACTTCACTTTATTAGTACTTACATCGCCTTGTACGGATGCTTCCACTTCTATTCTACTTCGCTTTCCACACCAAGATGTTTCTCACCCTTCTTGCTTGCCAGCTATCCTTGTCAGCTATTAAGAACGAAGGCACATGGCGTTTCTTCTTTCAGTCAACAAACTTGTTACAAGAAAAACCGAAGACAAAGAGATGAAAAGACGAAACGTCAAATGTGGTAGACAAATATGACATTCGTGATATTATTTTCAGGAATTAAATGGATTGTTCTTTCCTTTTACCTCGTTTAACGTCTTCAATGGAGGCAGAACCACGCGCGTTTACATGCGTGACGTTCAAAACATTGAAAGTTAAAGGACAAAAGTTTTCCCCCAGTCTCCGCTCGTGTCTACCTATTTGAATAACAAGCATAAAACTTAGTGAAGAGTCTTCCTGTATTTCCAGATTAATAAATCGACCTGTTTTGCATATACATGCAAATAACATACCTCTCGTGAAAAAAGAGGCCATACACCATACTTGCACAGGATTTGTTAACTGAGCGAGGATCAGTGATACAGGTCTCATCCCGGTTCATAAGGGACAGCCGCGTTGTGCATATCATTTACGTGGTCGATGATTGTTGCAAAGAATATGATCTTGTCAGACCTTTTTGTTTGCTTCAACTCCTGGCTGTTTGATAGGAATCTCTGAGCACGGTGACAGGTTATCACTGTTATTTTAACTACTCTATATTCAAGCCAACTGCATACGATCGATTTGGAAATCAGCTTCAGTACCACTGCCATTACTCGTATCTGCTGCGTATGACTTTGGAGTGTGCTTTCTCGGCGTTGAATGTTGATGGCGTCTGCAGTGTTGAGCTGAACTATTCGAGATTTCTCAGAAATTAGATCCGTCAAGCAAACTTGGAACACCCATTGATTGGTTTACATTTTTTCAACCAATTACTGGCGCAGATCTTTGACCTCCTGATCTCAAGCCTGCCTCACGAATTTTTGCTGTATACGCTATATAGTTATTTGTTACTCTAATAAGCACCTGCCTGGTGCAGTCTTACAAATATTTAAAATTTGTCAGAAGTGTATCCAATACTTTGAGAAAAATTGAAAAAAAAAAAATCAGTAAAAAAAATTGACTTTAATTTTATGCCTGTTGTTCGAAGGAATCCAGCTGATGATCCATGGCGACCTTGATATCTTAGTTTGTTATTACTGAAATAGAAACCAATCATCATAAACGTATCATACGGACGCCTTTCACTCATTAGACCGAACGACAGTTTCGGTGCGTTGGTTTTTGTTAGCTTAGACGAAGATAGCAAAATAACTTAACACTGTTTTGAAAATAGATTTTTTTTCCACTTTCGAACCAAAAAAAGAATTTGGAACAGGCGAAAGAGCCAATAAAATAGATATCTTAGGACTCTGTATCGAAAACAGTTATAAGTTATATGAGTTCATTCATTATTGATGAAATCCCAAATTATCAAAGAAAGCCGTCTGTTTTTGCTCCGCATGAGGGAACGTATATCTTGAATATAATAACAAGGCTACTCTGGGGGTGGGGTGCCAGGCCTACACTCTGTAGGTTTGTCACAATATCCAAGGTAGAACGTGACATTGTTTCAGAGAACGTCTGAAATGATCTAAACGTCGCTTACTAGGCCTGTTTACTTATTTTCTTCCTTTATTTTTTTTTTATTTTTTGTTTTCTTCCTTTATGTTGAAACCTAACTACATGATAACGAAAACTTGGAACTCACTCACGTTGTCACGAAATCACGAAACTAGGTCGCACTGTCATGGGCGATCCTAATTTGATAGAAACTGTTCTATAAGAACAAGCAAGCTGATTGAACACAATGAAAACAAATAAAAGAATCAGGATATTTTAACACAAGAGTTACGCTTAGATGTTTTCTATTCAAGTTGCTTCGTTGAGTATCCTCTTTATCCAATTACATGTTGTTTGCCTCATCTTGTAAGTTCTGCTTACGACGATTTTTGATTTTTTCAACATCTGAGTTGTTCGTCTCAGCATCATAGTTTGTTTTTAAGTCATTAGTCATAGTTTCTTTTTAGTGTTTTCGTAGTTTGAACTAGTACATGGCTCATTTGTTATCTCGTGAGGACGAACACGAACTTTGCTTATTTGGGGCAGGCTTTCAAGCAATGTAATTCGTGGACCGACCCATTCTGAAAATGATCGACATCTTTTTCGATCATTTCCAAAACTTTCTTCACAAAACACAGCATTATGTATGTTAGGTTGTTCACGAAGGGCGAGCACACGATAAAGCAGTTAGTCATGAGAAGGCCCTTCTCTCTTCTGTGATATTTCGTGACTTTTTTTTATGTAAATCAACAATGAATGAGACCGCGTTACAACACTATATATGCCGGGTTAAATCCCTTATGTGTACTTCCTGTTAATTGCATCCCGGTTTGCTTGCCGTTAGTTCCACTCGGATTTGCTTGCGGTTAGCTTTTATTCTGTGGTTTGGGTGACACTATTACATATACTTCGGCTTGCAGTATGGATAGTTAAAAAATTCGACTTCTTTCAGCTGCCTCTTCGATTGTTTAGTGGTTAAGTGAGCAACTCCTAAATCAAGTGTCCCTGGTTCGACTCCTGATGTCCGCATGTTGAGATTTCTTTTTTATTCTTTTTTTGAATTTAAAAAAGTAAACATTTTGTTTCTGCCAACAAGTGAATTCGACGATCGTGACAATCGGTCACGAAATGTCACTGAAGAAAGAAGGGCCTTCTCGTCTATCCCTTCAAATACCGATAAGGCACGTTGTCGCATTCTCATCCCCAGTTTCCACGCTCTACGCTTGGAACGCCTGGGACTATGACCCCCCATTTGGGGACCAAATACTACGAAGACGACGAAGACGACGACGAAGAAGAACGGCTTGCATTTTATGACTCGGGCTTTAAGTAAAAGCCCGAGTACTTAATGTTTCATTCTTTTACGTTTACAGCTTGCAATTTAACGAAAACAGAAAAGCATCAGCAAACTGAAAGTCAGCCTAGATCGGCATAGCCACTTTAAATTAGTTGAACTATAACTGATGACAGTGCTTCTGGAACTGATGCGTTATCTTCTTTAACTATTACCTTTTAGTATTACCCAACTAGTGGACTAATGTAAATCCTGCATTTTAATTGGCTACGCTACTAGAGGACTATTAGTAATAGTCCTCGAGTGGCGAAATTCGCCGGCTTTGAAAACCTACCAAAACAATGGCGGCCGCTTCGCGTTTGGTGGAAATTTCAAAGGAGTTTTTAGATAATTTAATGAATAATTCCATCCCAGAAAAGATCAAAAGGGCAACAAAGTACGGGATGAATCTTTAATGGTAAGTTTTGTTGTTGTTGTTTGTTTGTTTGTTACTAGACAAAACTACGAACTTTTTTTGTAAATTGAAAACAAATCAAGCTTTACTTTTCTCGATAAGTCTTCAATATATTGTCACTTTTTTATTATAGAATGGTTTGCAAGCCAAACAAAATTTAAAACAGTTATACAAGAGATGGAGAAAGAAGAGTTAAATGAATGTCTCGCAATGTTTTACGCTGCTGTCAGGCGAGAGGACGGCACTGAGTTCAAAGTTTAACCCCGACGAATCCGACTGTAAAATGTTTGAGGTTCCTAATTCAAAGCGCTGCCCGGTGAAAACCCTTGAAAGCTTCCTTAAGGTTACAGTATACCTTCGGGTCGACAATTTTCTTCAAATTTGGATTTTTGGGTCAAAGTAGTGGTCGAAGAATAATCTCTAATTTCTTAAAAAAAGTTTTGAAAAAGGCTAGATATTGGCGGAGAAAGGCGGTTTTACGTTTTCGTCGGAAGTAAAAGTTTACCTCTTGATTGACAGTCCTATGGCGCGTACGCAATCAACCGAGACGGTTTTCGCGGGAATTACCTGTATCGATGTCACGAATTGACTACTCAGTTGATCAGCATTGTTGTTGTGACTACCAAGCATTTTTGGTATAAGTTGTAACTCTATTAAGTTATAAGTAAACTTAGACCACGTTAAAAACATGGGCCAGTTCGAAAAAGCGAAAACAGCGAAAAACGAATCAAAATACATCAAAGAGTGAAGAAGCGAAAGTTCGCCACGCGGATGAAGCCATAGCTATCGTATAAGGCGGGAAAAAAATTCGTGCTACGAGAAAAGAAAGGTTCTGTAAAAATTTCGGAACTTGACAGCAATAACAGGGATGTCGACAGAGACTCTTCTGAGTCGACGAATCGTCGGACTCATTGAGACCATTTAAAATATTATCCATGCACAGTTGGCCACACACAGTTGCTCCGCCGCGCTTTCTTTCTTTTGTTTTCTTCGCCCAGCCACTCTAGCGTGCGTATCCCTTTTAGTCTTCCCCATTTTGTCAGAGAAGCTTCAAGAAAAACCGAGCTACAGAAAAATTTTCTCTCCGNTTTTTTTCTTTCATTTCTTATGACTTCAATACTTATGATTTATGAATTATGGCTTACACCAAAGGTTAGTTACTATCCTCCTCCTTATACATTCTCTTTACATAATGAACATTTGTATAACAACAATGTATTAATGTATTTCGTATATAGATTAACCACTTTTAAATATAGTAAACTTTTAAACTTTTAAATAAAGTGTCCCTTTTTTGGTTTTGGTCAACCCGGTGATACAGCACCTGCAAATTAAGTAAAATTAGCTAATGAGCTACAAGTTCAATACAACATTTCCTCAAGTATTTGCTTCTTTTTTAAATTTCTTTGTTTGTTTGGTTGTTTGGTTGCTGTGTTTTCCGTTTTTTTCGGTTTTCCAGCGTTTCTCAAACCTCAATGCATTCGACATGGACAGTTAATTTTGTGATTACATGTATTGCATTTTATTTGAACGTGTAATTTCATTTTCTTCCTATAATGTCTAGAACGAAAACGTAACTTGAACGGTTTTTAGTCAGCTGGCATGGTAAAGAGGTAAATTCTCTACTTGCACAAATCCCATAATACACCTCTTTTACCCCCAAACAAATATGCTTAGGCATTGCTTTAGATTCCTCTTGGGACATCTTCATATCCCAGGAGAAATTGCAAACAATGATTATCCAAAATTTTGGGCGGTAACAATAAAAGAGGTGTATTATGGGATTTGTGCAAGTAGAGAATGAAAAACAATCATTTGGCTCAAAACATTGTGTCCACGGAAAAAAAAAAAGCTACTTTGAATATTCTTCATCTGCTCATGTTGCCATGGAAATATTGACCTGACTGAGATTAGGTCTAGTTATTAGTTTTAGCAGAATAGGTCAGCCGAAATCGATGAAACACCTATAGTAATTTCGTTACAATGACTGGATTGGAAAACCAATCCTTCTAATTGAAGACTGTGTACAATTCAGTAACACTACTATGTTTTTGACAGGACAAACTCGTGCATACTCTTACTTCTTCTCTAACTTTGCAAGACTCATGTGCTATTTTTTGGTAACCCTTTAATATTACAGACTCATTCCCTTTCCTCTCCTCGTTTAAGGAAGATGAGCATTTTTTTCTCAGCCTTACGAAAGAATGTATCAATACACTGAGGGTTCAATCTTTGACATTAGTGTAAATTCTACTTATAGATTGCCTCATTGCCTGAAAGAATTTCAGCAGCAACAAGGTGGAAGAAGGCATGAAGAAACCAAGCAAAAAAAGGATCATCACCTGATCAGGAAGACCCCAATGGAGGAAAACAAAATACAAGAAAAAGTGTAATGTGGTACCACTCGGGCAAATACATTGCCACACCTGTGTTTGATTGTTGGGGCCAGAACTGTGTTGAGGATAGCAGGCATTTGATGTATCAATGATTGTCACTTGGGCAAGGAAAGGGAAAATACTCTTGTTTGATTGGTATCTATGAGCTTCTTGGTAAATGTTTGGATGGACTGTTTTGGTACACAATGTGGTGCAAGTAGACACTAACACAGGTATTACTCACTTCTGGTTTGGTCCTTCATATCATGAGTATTTTAAGTCGGATGGCAAAGGACTCCCTCTAAAAGATAAAGTTTCAATCAGCTCCAGTGAGTGTTGAGCTTTCTGGAAATGTACAGCAAAGAAAGCAAATATTTGGTTCAAGCATGCTACAACCAACAAGAGGAGAGGTGCACAAAGGTGAAGACAATGTGAAATCTATTTCCTGCGTACCTGGAGCCTGGAAAAGATTCTTGCATCTTCCCTGAGAGGAATTAGAAGTGTATATGATTATTATGAAAGCAAAGTTGAAATATTGTGGTCAACTTATGCAAGGGTAAAGAGATAATGGGCGCAAGTCTAAAAAAGGGCAATTGTTGGTGGAAAGATAAGCTATTGTATTGTTGGTCTCTACAGAATGGTAAATGCAGTTAGCATTTCACCAATACTTGGGTGAATCTTCATTGGGCTCTCAACAAACGCATGGATCCTATCAATAGTACTGGTGTGCTTAGTGCTTTGACTTGGAACTTGTTTGCAGGATGGTATGGGGTACGTTTTACCAAAAGATCAAGGATTTATAGCCAGTATTTCACCAGTGCCATGCCTAATATTAACAAGAACGAGGAAACTGACACAACAAGGAGTTCATTGTTTTTACTACAGTTTTTGATGGAGAAGGGTTGTATCCCATCACGAAAGTGATATGTTGGCACTAAGCTATAATGTTTAAAGTTTCATTGTAGTTGAGTACCAAGGGAAAACAGAGCCTGTCAGGTATTCAGCTGAGGTGGGAATGATGATTACATCTTATAACATGTGTAAATGTGGTGAAAGAGTGAAAAGTTATTCTTGGGCTAACGAATAGGCAAATCTTTAATCCGTAAGTATATAATGCCTGCATGCCTATATTCGTTACACTTAAAGAAGAAATTAGACAAGGCATACCTGCGTTGTTGGTGAGATGCGATAACACTCCTCCTTATTAACTGCATCTCGTTCTAAAGAAACCCAAGAGGGATATTAAGTGCTGTTATGCTGCCAGATGCTGCGATAGTGC